TTCTCCCATGTCAGTCAAAAGTACATACTCATCAGGAGGATAGCGCATGGATTTTTGCTTCTCCCTTGTAGATCTTCTAAGAGAGGTTTCAGGAGCATTCGTAGTAGTTACCTGTGCAGGAATTGGTTGCTGATCAATCACAACTTCATCAACTGGAGCATCCATAACATCTACACCATGATGATCATTTTGATCTTGATCACTATCTCCATCATTGTCTTGGGTTCCTTCATGTGCAATAGGTGCCTTAGCAATTGAAACTGGATCAATATCAACTAAGCTCTCATTACTCTGAGAATCTATCTTCTCATCTTTGTCAATATCTTCAATAGTTTGGTCTTCAAAGAATATTGCATCACGACTTCTAATAAGTTTATTATCAATTGGATCATAAAAACGATACCCAAACTCATCTTGACCATAACCGATAAAGATGCACTGCTTAGTTTTGACATCCAGTTTCGATCTCTCATCTTTAGGAATATGCACACAAGCTTTACACCCAAAAACTCTCAGGTGATCATAAGAAACATCTTTGGCAAACCAAACTCTGTCTGGGACATCACCATCCAAAGCAAAAGCAGGAGACAAATTGATAACATAGGCAACACTGTTAAGTGCTTCCGCCCAAAATGTATTTGGAAGTTTAGCCTCTGAAAGTAAGCATCTAACTCTCTCAACTAGAGTTCTATTCATCCTCTCTGCCAAACCGTTCAATTGAGGCGTCTTGGGCGGAGTTTTCTGATGACGAATTCCTTGTTCCTTGCAATAGTTATCAAAGGGACCACAATATTCACCACCATTATCAGTGCGAATACATTTTAATTTCTTCCCCGTCTGTCTCTCAGCTAAGGCCTGAAATTCCTTAAACACGCCAAGTGCTTGATCTTTAGATTTCAAAGGATACACCCAGAGCTTACGAGAATGATCATCAATGAAGGTCACAAAGTAAAGTGCACCACCTTTTGACTTTACTTTAAAAGGACCACACAAATCAGAGTGTACTAGCTCTAATAAATCGGGCTTTCTTGAGGGAGGATGGCTATGAAAGGAAACCCTTTTCTGTTTGCTAGCTAAACAATGTATGCACCTTTGCAGCTTTGCTTGTTTTACTCCAGAAAGCAAACTTTTCTTAGCCAAACACGTAATCCCTCTCTCACTCATATGACTCAATCTTCGATGCCACAATTCTGACAAACTATCACTTTCCACCAGATTTATTGAGTCATTAAGAATAGAGCCTTGTGTCACATATAATTGACCAGACTTGACTCCTCGAGCCACTACTAATGAGCCCTTGGTGAGCTTCCATTGGCCGTTAAAGAGAGCATTATGGTAACCTTCATCGTCTAATCTTCCTGCGGAGATCAAATTGAAAGGAAAGTCTGGAGCATGCTTCACATCTTGAAGAACTAACGTTGAACCATTATTAGTTTTCAAACAAACTGTGCCAACACCAAACACCTTAACTTCACTGGCATTGCCCATCTTTAACACTCCAGAATCAACATGAGTATAAGATGAGAAAAAATCTTTTCTTGGTGGGACATGTGAGGTAGCTCCAGAATCTACTATCCAGCTCGTCTCATGGGATACTAAATTGATGACGTTTTCATCATAAGCAAAAAGAAGGTCATCTTGAACAATAGCAGCAACATTGTTCTCGTTATTTTCAACTTTCTTTCCTTCTTTAGTGTCTTGATTCAACTTGCGGCAAAACCTTTTGATGTGTCCTTTCTTGCCACAGTGGTTGCATGTAACATTATAGTATTTGGACCTTGACTTACTTCTACTTTTACCTCTATTTCTTGAGCCTCTTGTTCTATCTCTCCCCCGGTCTTCTGTAATCAAGATATCTGCTTGTGAGGATGAACCCTGCGATTTTCTCCTTACTTCCTCGTTCAACACACCACTCTTGGCATATTCCATGGTCACCTTACCTCCAGGAGCTGAATTTGTCAAAGAAACACGAAGAGTTTCCCAAGAGTCTGGCAGAGTATTAAGAAGCCAAAGTCCTTGTATCTCATCATCAAAATTAACCCCCATTCCAGATAGCTGATCAAGGACGCCCTGAAAATCATTTATGTGATTAAGGATAGGGCTGCCTTCCTTGTATTTAAAGGTCATCAATTGCTTTAGCAGAAACAATTTGTTGTTCCCGGTTTTTGAAGCATAAAGAGTCTCTAGCTTTTCCCACAATAATCTCGCATGTATCTCGTTCACAATATGGTTGCGAACATTATCTTCAACCCATTGCCGTATATATCCACATACTTGTTATTTTTTGGGCACATGCCCATGTTGTCCAGCCAAAGGCCCAATGGCCTAATCCTATTCTCTTTTGGTTTCCAATCCTATTTGGAATTGGATTCGGTTTATTCCTATTTTGAGTGGGTTTTGGCTTTAAGAGAAAGCACCACTCATGATCTATAAATAGGACAACCTTGGAGAGTTATTCTATGCTCATTGATACAAGTCTTTGAAAGACTTAAGAACATAAGAGTGGGTTTTGAGAGAGCTTTCATCAAGAGAGAAGAGAGAAAAAAAGTATTTGTTTTGCTGCAGATTTTTATTCCGACCAGCCAACTTCAAATCACGTTTTTCGATTCGTTAACCGTTGGATCGGGCTGAAATTTTGACTGAGTGTTCATAACATCTTGGTCTGGGATTTGAACGGTGGAGATCGGATTTGGAGGCTCGTAGCATCTGATTTCGAGCCTCAAACACCAGCTTCGTTTTGTGGATTATACTCTTTCTTCAATTGATTAGTTGTTGCTCTTGTTGCTATTGTTGCTCCGTGTTTGGCCCTTGTTGTGTAGCCAATTTGGAGAACTTTTGTAACCCTCTTATTGTTATAGTGGAGCTTTTTGGATCTTTGTGATCCCGTGGTTTTTACCTTCGATTTGAAGGGTTTTCCACGTTAAAATTTGGTGTTCTTTATCTTCTTTATTTTCGGATTTGCCTCTTCCTCGACATAACAAGTGGTATCAGAGCCAGCTTCGAGCGAGGTTCAAAACAGGTTCATCTTGGCGTGTTCAGTTCTAGCTGCAACATATTTGACGATAATCGTGATTTTTTTGTCTGAGAAATTTGACCGGAGTGCTACGCACGTTGAGACAAACTTTGTGGCGGAGATCTGGAGATGCGACTTGTTGAAGGCTATGTGAAGAAGGTGGATCAAGTTTATTTTGTCAGAAAATTCAGGCTAAGGGGGAGAATTGTTAGGTGTTTGCCATAATTTTCTTACCATATTTGGTTTTCCTATCTCTTGAAGGAAACGGGCAATATAATTACCTTAACTGTGTTTTCCTTTTTGTAAAAGGAAATTATAAATCTCCAATATTTGGCTAGTCCTTTTTCTTGTAGGAAAAGGTTTGAACTTGTATAAATTGAGGATCCTTCTTTCACATTCAGTAGCATCCACAATGTAGCCATAGGGGGCTTGAGAGTCGTGTCTAGGGGGAGAACTTTACGGGACAAGTGTAAGTGTGTCACTTGTGTTTGTCTCTTCGTGAGGTTGTTCTCTCGATATTTTGTACTCTCTTTTTATTATAGTGGATTGCTCATCTCCGTTGTGGACGTAGGTCAGTTGACCGAACCACGTTAAATGTTTGTGTCTCTTTTGGTAGATTTCTATTTGTTGTATGATTTATCGTCGTTCAAGGTTTGCTTTGCTAGCTTCCGCATAACACCTGCTTTTTCGATCCTAACACTTACAACATTACCATCTAAGATCATGTTTGCCTTTCGTTTTAACTTTTGGTTATGTAACTGCCGGATTATAAGGCTCTCATCTGCATAATTTGTCGGTGCTTTGACTCCAAGAGAATCCTTTTTGGGGCTGGGGCTGGGGCTCAAGCTTTTCCATGTCTGAAGATTTTGTGTCCAATTTTTTGATTGATTTTGCAGTAAGCCGATGGATGTCAATGCAGCGGGGCGGGTTAAAACTCTTTTTAAATTTTTTAAAGCGGGGCGGAGCGGGTTTAATGCGGGGCAAACTTTGAATTTTATCTTTTTTGAAACAAAGCAATCATTTCAACTACAATTTCACATTCTTCTTCACTAGCACGAATACTATTTTGAGTTATAATTAACCAATTTGCATAAGTCTCACCAAAATGATATTACATGAATCAAGATATCGTATTAGTAATAGGAAATGATAGTAACCCATTTATTTTGGAAAATCAGCATAATACTTTCTTAGTTTTATGTTTATGTGATTATATTAAACTCTACATTTTATAAAATAATAAAATGTCAAACTAGTTTTTTTTAAAAAAAAATTAAGTGGGGTGGGGCGGGGCGGGTTGAAAATTGAAAAAATAACTATGCTGGGCGGGGCGGGATGGGTTGACATTTTTGTGGGTTTTGCCAAACCCGCCCCGCTCCATTGCCAACATGTTTATTAAATTATTCTGCCATAACCTTGTGCCTTTAGCTGTGGGTCAGAAGAACTAAGATCCTGATTTTGGAATAAAGCTTACATGAGGCTGCTTGTCTTTTGTCTTTTCCTCTCTGGAGATTTGCACATATATATATATACCAATTTCATCAGCTTACTACTTTTCATGAAAACCATTCCAGGATATGATTGATTCATACTGTCATCTTTTGTATTGTAGTGGCTCTCAAGATAGTCTTGATAATCAAAATGCCTAATGTATCCCCGAAAATGGAAGAAAATACTTATGAAGGTGGCCTAAAAAAACCCTTCTATTTAGTGCTTCTGTTTTACCATTTTAGTCGCTTATTATCTGTGCTGCTGTAAACATGGTTTTTTCTTTGGCTTTGATCATGTTCTATTCTTATTGCTGCTTTAAGTAGTGCTAGTAAATGCATTCTCTCCTGCAAAAGCTTTGTCTAAGTATGTCATACATTGTTTACTTAGTTGGTCTATTTGGCTGCAAAGCATGTCTAGAATGTACACAGAGTAGCCTAAAATTCTTATATCAGTACTTATATATAATCAGATTAAGTAACGAGTACAAACAGAACTCTTAAATATCTAATCACATTAAGAGAATAAAACTTAATAAATGCACCAAAATGTGAGTAGCACCTAAAAAACTAGTACCTGGAGCTGATTGCATCAGTAGTCTGCTTAGTTTGGACATATTGTGAGATGCTATTGAGTAATATATATTCAATCATCTAAGAATCTCTGCTGTTGAGTAATAGATATGCAATCGTCTAAGAATGTCAACTGTCCCCTGAGGAGTTCAAGACATCGTAAAATGAAGTTAAGACTAAACAGACATATAAAGACAGTTTTTGTGTTAACAATTGTGACACTTCTCACCCTGGTGACTGGTTCCTGTTCTGTTATGTGGATTCAAAACAAGCCATGGAAGAGTACATGGCTTCAGCTTTCTTCTTCTTCTCCTCCTCAAGAACACACATGTTTACGGTGTTTTTTCCCGTTGAGGTGTAATATGAAAGTTTCTTTATTCATGCATGGAGTTTGACATAATTCGCACCAGAATTGCTGGCTGTTCTCATCTTTAATTTTCTCACCACGGTCGAGTTCTAGTAGCTTAGCCTTGTGTTTCTGACCTTCAAGGTGCATCTTTAATAAACTTTCATCCTGACAGAAAATTTTGCACAAGTCACATCTTACTTGCTTGTTTCTTTCCTCGACACTTGAATCCCCGAGTTTCAGCTTGTGCATGCGGCCTCTCAAGTGCTGCTCGAAACAAAGAGTCCCAGAGCAATGAACTCTACAGATTTTACAGTAGTACTGCTGCTGAGGTGGCAGGCCGCCAGAGTTGCTGGACTCTGCATATTTCTTTCTACCAGAGTAAGTAAATGTAGAGCTTAATGATGGACGGGGTGCCGATGTTGTCGTACTTGAAAAATGGTTAGGCGGTAGCACTGCATTAGGGGTTTGTAAAGGGGTTGATGCATCAGGCAATGGCATTACACTATGACTTGTGGTCGGACTTTGAGCAGAAGATGGACATGGAAAAGGCTGCTTGTTTGATGGATCAGGACAAGGACAGTCAGCATTTACACTTGAATTGCTCTTGAAGATGACACCTGACAAAATAGATAAATCTTGTAACAGCAGCAATAAACTGTAATCAGCAGCAATTGCTTTGGTATTTGTTATTTGTATATTCTTGCAGGAACAAAAAGAACACGAAAAGAGGAACGGAAACTACCTCTTGTATTACTTGGACCATCAGATTCTAACAGTTCCAATGCTCCCTGTGGAACTTTGGAGTATGTAGATGTTGTTTGGTTCTTAGAAATCAAAGCTTTCCGTCTTGTTACCTAAAACTTGGACGATTTCTATTAGATTTGAATATTTGACACACAGAACATTAGAGGTACGAAGTTATTTCGCAGGATTGAGCGAACAAAATATAGTTTAGAGGTACTGGTACCAAGGATGAGTCAGGTAATGGATGAGGGGAGGGACACTTGGCACTTACATTTGAATTGCTCCTGAAGATGGTACCTGAAAGGAGGAAAAATCTTAAAACAGCAGCAATAAACTGTACATTGTGTGCAAATAAATGTAACATTCTACAGCAATTGCTTTGATATTAGTAAGTTGTAGCTGTACTTACACGAGAAAAGAATTAGTAAAGAAAAGACGAACAAAAGCTACCTTTAGACGAACAGAAACTACCATCAGAATCCAAAAGTTTCAACATTTCCTGCGAACCTTTGGCGCATTTAGAGGCTGTTGGTGGACTGCAATCTGCTGTTCCATCAGCCGATCTTTTCTTCTTGGAAATCAAAGCTTTCCATCGTTTTACCTAAAACTTGGATCATGTTCTATTAGAAGGGTTGAATCTTTGACACACATATCATCAGATATATAAAGTTAATTCGCAGGGTTTATTGAATAAATTATACTCCATAGTTACTAGGAGTAGTTTATAGGTACCAGTATCAAGGATCAAGTCTTACTATGATCCTTCTAACATACAAGATACAAGGAGTACTGCAAATTTTATCGCCGTCCAAGATACAATGTACTTTTAGTAACTGAAGCTAAGATCAAACTTAAAAAGGGATTCTTTTTCCTTTTTAATTCAAAAAAATATAACAGAGGGAATTTTCTGATTTTGTATATGTATTAAAAATTCACTAAACATCTATACATATTTGACTGTGGACTCAATTATTATTGTATATTAACTTAAGGTCGCTATAGGAACCCATAAACTTCAAATGCTGAATCCACTTTTGATCCCAAATCAACAAAGACATCTTACTTTCCTTCTCATTTAAGACAAGGGGCATACTTGTATGAAAAACACATGGCATGCATTTATAGGAGAAGATAGATAGAAACAGACCTCAAAGGGCAAAACATCCGGCGGACATTCATCATCTGCAAAAAAATTTGCGATCTTCTCTTTAAATGCTAACTCACGCTGAATAGCATACTCCACTGACCGGGAACGCACTCCCTTATTTTCAGCCATTTATGTCAACTTCCTGCAATCAATTTTATCATGCCTAATTACTTGTTAAGCAAATATGAAGCTAACTGTAAACGAAAAAACCTCCAACAATGCAGTATTTTTATATATCAAATAAAAATAGATGCAACTGTTAAAGGATTTGATTAATACTTAAAAGTTTCAGGAAATAGAGTTGAATTGGATAAATTTATAAACATAAAGGAAACTGTAGGAGTTAAAGTAATTAACCCAATTATGTAACACAATCAACAGACGGAAAGATCAATGTGCCTTCTTCGCCCGATTAAGTTTCAGTTTTTGGGTTTTAGCTTTGTTGTTTGTATAGCAATGGAAACAATTGGAGTGTTATAAGAAACAGAATCCGACGGTAGAGGAGTAAAGTTGAGATTAATTATCAAAGGGCACTAAAATTAACTAAAAATGGTCAGGCGCAAACTGTGTTGCACTTTGTATTGTACGAATCAGTGCGAGCATTGGGGTAGTGCCACGTTATCTCCTCACACCTTCCTCCTTCTGGCTTTTTTTTTTTTCTGTTTTAAAACTAATTTTGCTTTAATTATTCCTGTGACTTTATCCTTTTCCACAAAAATTGGGATTAGAATAGTATAGTGAAATCTAGTAATTAAATTACTGTTTTGTGAAAATAAAAAGAAGAGAAGTAGAATATGATTCTATTAGATTATTTTAATTTTACAATTTAAAATTGGGGTATTATCACTTTTAGCTCCCGCCAGAAAGTGTATAAAATTTGAATAATTTTTGTATATAACATACAGAATGTATATATATACAAAAAAATATACAAATTTTATATATTTTTTTCAACTATTATTGTCATTTTTCCTTTAAAATTAGGCGATAGGTCTTGGAATTTTACCTTGGGAAAATTGTAAATTTTGAAGTAAAGTAAAGACTTAATATTCATAAACACGGTCTGTAGATAAGAAAATTCAAACGCGTCCGCTGCATTTCAGTAGTCTGTTAGTGCTATTCCCCCTTAACCTTCTAGATCAACTTTAAGTGGTGATTATTCCATGATTTGACCCCATTGGTTAATCTTGTGCAAAAAATTCTGTAACATAAACTGTATGTGTGGCAATATTATCTCACTTGATGAAATAACACTTAACATCAAATAAGACAATTAAACTTTAGAAGTTACAAATTAAGGTATACGAAAAAGAATGGCAATCACAAGATTTGATCACCTGACAACAGATTCAGCGCACTAGATAATACTAATGTTGATGATAATCACCATAATCATTTTCAGGAGGAACTAATCCCTCATTACTGAGTCTTACACTTGCTTTCTGGGTGGGTAAGTGAGTCAATACTTGTCTGCTTCATTTGCTTTTACTTGGATTAGCATTTCTTTTCATCTTGTAGATCACCAAATCACAATGTTTGCATGGTTGGAATCTGGACTTGCGTTAATTGGTTATAGCCTAAAAGGATAGTGACGTGACCAAGTGATGGATTAAAAAAAGGCCTAATATTAAATAGTAAAAATAGCACAGTCTAGCCAGTTTTCGGACTGGTCATTCAAAAATAGCTAGCGTTTACTAAGTCAATGAAAAATAGCCACTATTTTGCTGCAATAGAGACCGGTCCATTATAATATACTGGAGTTCGGTGCACCTGTATATGAACTTCCAGCATATTGTGCTGGAACTCCAACACACGGAAAGTTCCAGCATAATATACTGGAGATTCGAGCACTTGTGTATGAACTTCCAGCATATTATACTGGACCGGTATACTTTGCTGGAACTCCGGTATATTATGCTAGAGTTCTAGTATACTTATGCCGGAACTCCATCATATTATGCTGGAGTTCCAGCATACTTATCTTGGAACTCCAGTATATTATGCTGGAGTTCAAGTATACTTATGCTGGAACTCCAGCATAATATACTGGCGTATTTTCCGGGTTTTGAACAGTGTTTTCGCTCAGATTTATCTTTACATGAAAAGTGGCTAAATTTCGATTACTTTTGAAACTGGGCTATTTTTGAACGACCACTTGTAAATCTGGCTATTTTTGAATTTCTCCCTATTAAATACTGTGTGTGTGGATAAGTAAGGCCCAATAACGATTGGCCTGTGGATAAATACTAGCTAGTAGAAAACCCTATCGTATTCTGCCTCTTAATACGTGCAAGTTATTCGGGCTGCGAGAGCGTGTAGCTAGTGAATTGTGAAAGCTGGTATTTAATCGCCGGTTGCTGTCGCTGCTGAATCAATGGAGTTGAACGGTACGCTTTCTTAAACTCTAACTCTAGATTGATTGTATAATTGTGTCTCAATATCTGCTATGGCTACAAATTAACTATCTTACAAGCATTTCACGGGCAACTTCTTGAGAGGAACTATTTTGAAGCTGTGGTCATCACTCATTAAGTTCTTAGAGAACAGAAGCAAAAATATTTTGAAGCTGTGGTCATCACTCATTAAGTACAATTTTTAATCGGTTATAACAAGTTATAACTTTTTTTTTTTTTACTAGTTACTGTATCATATGCGGAGTTACTTGTTATTGTAAATCAACTTAAAACCATTAGTATAAAAATACTTAAGGATGTCAATGCAGAGAACTTAAACTCTAAAACAAAATATTGTGCGAGGCTCCCAAAGCCAGCTAAGTTTAAACTTACCATAGGAAACCTTTGAAAAGTTACTTCACATTTCAACTCTATAATCTTCACAAAAATTATGGGATTTTAACAACCAGAGTGACAGAATAAAGAATCTAAAAGAACTGTTTACAAGAAGAATGTGCTATGTATGTTACAAATGTGTAAAACTATTGACACTTTTGCTGTAAGTTGAAACAAAAGAAGTTCATCAAAATGAAGGAGAAGTGCTACGACTAGATCCTGATCTTTGGCTGCGAGAAATTGTAATCAACATATCCAATACTTCTTTCATGTTAGGTCTAGCATGAGGATTATCAGCAGTGCACCTTATTCCTATCCTAAGCAATTCACTCAACTCCTCTGCTCCTTCTGCTAAGCCAGATACCAAAAGAGCAACCGGTATCATGGTTCTAGTAAATCCTTGCCTTCCGTCTCCCATCACTCGTCTCGCCCATTCAACTAAACATTCCTCGCCTCCATCTACAGCACGTCTACCTGTCGCTAGCTCCATTGCCAGCACTCCGTAACTGTAAACGTCGCCTTTTGTTGTAGCCTGCCACGTCTGTCCATATTCTGGTGCAACATACCCGACTGTGCCAGCAACCATTGTGCTGATATGACTATCTCCAGCATCCATTACCCTAGCGAGGCCAAAATCCGTGACTCTTGCCCTACCGTCTTTGTCTAGAAGCACATTGCTAGCCTTGACATCTCTATGAACAATACAAGGATAGCACTCGTGGTGTAAGAAGACTAAAGCACGCGCTACATCAATCGCCACATTAATTCTTCTCTTCCATGAAAACTTGGTTCTATCTGTGATAATGTCATCTAAGCTTCCACCTTCCATGTATTCATAGACTAACAATTTCTCTGATCCATTTAGGCACCATCCGTAAAGAGTAACAAGGTTCGGATGCCAACCAAAGTCATTTCCACTTAGTACCTCCATTTCAGCTCTGAACTCTCTTTCCCCTTCAAATCCCTCCCTTTGTAGCTTTTTCACTGCCACTTCCCTTCCATCAGGCAAGATTCCGCGATATACTGTCCCAAATCCTCCCTTCCCTATAATTCTATCATTCGAGAATCTACCTGTGGCCTTCAATATATCAGAATGTGTGAAGCTTGTTGTATCCAAACGGATCACCTTAACATCATTAGACAACCATGGTGAGGATGCACCTGAACTTGATGGCAAATCATGTCGGCCCTTTGAATCCTCCAGTAGATATCCTGGTGTATCTATCGGAGATTTTAGGACGAGGCAGATAATGAGTGTCATGACTCCACAAACTAGGAAAGCCAGCACCAGAGCCAAGAATACCAAAATTGCCCCTAACTTTGTGGTCCTTTTGAAACTTCCACCCTTGTTTATTGCATTGTTGGTAGAGTTGTCAATGAAAGATGGAAGGTGAAGCAATGGATCGCCAAGATATGATGACTTCTCAAATGTGGCCAACTGTCCACTTTCTGGTATAGAACCATAGATGTATGGGTTGTACGAGACGTTGAACTTGCTCAGGTCAGTCAAGTTACTAAAGCTAGCCGGGAATAGACCAGAGAAATTGTTATAGGATAAATCAAGAATCTGCAAGCACTTAATGTACCCAATCTGACTTGGAATTTCACCTGAAATTCTGTTCTGTGAAACATTAAGGACTACTAGTCGCATTTTCCCAATCTCTGGAGGAAGAGTGCCAGAGAATTCATTTACGCCCAAATGAAGCATACTGAAATTCTGCATACTGCCAATTTCAGGAGGGATCGCACCTGAAAACTTGTTCTTACTGAGTTGAAGATAACCTGATATCTGATTCGAACGAACATTACTACCAGGTTCACACACTGGAAATAAACCATACCCTTTAAGCAATTTATCCCATAAGCTTCTACAATTTTTTCTTGTAAGAAGGGGATATACAAAGCTAAATGGAGGATAATCAGCTGGTATCCACCTCCTCATAGCGAAGCACTCCCCCGAGCCAGCAGTGACCTTATCCTTTTTCCTATTCAACAAGAAAGTAGGCATAGGGTTTGAGCCAATTCTTGCTAACTGAGGAGGTATTGGCCCTGAAAGTTGATTATTTGCAAGATTCAGCCACAGTAAGCTACTGCAATTTCCCAACTCGGGTGGTATTCCACCGATCAGTGAATTGTTAGCAAGCATCAACCACAAAAGTGAGTTTAGCTTTCCCAAATCAGGTGGTATCGCGCCAGTTAATTTGTTAGAGGAAAGATCAAGTGCCTGAAGCGTTGGAAAATCCCCGTATTCTGATGGTATACTTCCATTAAACTGGTTGTATGCAAGAATCAGAAACTTTAAACCTTCCATCTTGGAAAGTTCAACTGGTAATGGACCAGAAAACTGGTTATCACTCAAATCCAACCGAGAAAGATTCACTAAGTTGGGAATTCCAGAGGAAACTATGCCTCCAGTATATGAGTTACCATGCAACAGTAGAAACTTTACCTGTGTAAATCGCCCGAAAATCTCTTGTATTTCTCTTCTGAAGTTGTTTCTACTAAGATCAAGAAACACCAAGTTGCTTAGGCCTAATAGAGTCTCTGGAATATCCCTTGAAAAATTATTGCTTCCCAAGTAAAGTGCCTGAAGACTAATAACTGATCCAATTTCCCTTGGAATTGGACCTGAAAAGTTGTTTCCAAACAAATTCAACTCTACCAAGTTTTTACAATTCGATATCTCTTTTAAAAATCCTCCAACGAATCCGTTTTCTGATAAATCC